GGAGTATACGGTGTAAATGATGATGCCACTGTCGCATGTAAGGACCAATTCTTCGAAGATCTGAATGATGAAATACTGAACGTTGGTGCTGGCAGGGAAGCCATTCTTATGGGTGATTTGAACAGCAGAACGGGACGACGAGTAAACTGTAAAGTTGTTGGACCGTTTGGGGAGGATGCTGTTAATGATAACGGTGATCGGCTCATCTCAATTTGTTCTCAAACTGAGATGAAAATTTTGAATGGCTTTTTTCAACGCAAAGACATCCATAAGTATACCAGGGTCCAGCCAACGCGAGGATTGAAATCCATCATCGATTATGTAATTGTAAAGCACACTACTAAGTTGAAATTGCAGCAAGTTAGAGTGTGCAGGGGACTCTCTTGCGGCAGTGATCATCATTTCCTCCGAGCAGATATAGCGTTTCCCGTTAAAGGGATTAAAGATAAAGAGCCAATGCCTGAGCAACAGCAGAGTCAGGGAACGCAAAATCATGAAGTATGGTATAACATCGAAAGTTTGGAGCACCCTAGTGTCAAGGCTCTGTATCGGAAACGCTTAGATGAGAAGCTGGGGGATGGACTCTCGGGTACCACGGAAGAGCAATATCAGTTCATCAAAGATTGTATCCACTCTGCAGCGAAAGAAGCCCTAGGTGTTCACAAAACCAGTAATAAATACCAGCATCCTTACTGGTGGGATGAAGAAATTGAAGACGAGATAAATCTTAAGAGGCAAAAACACCTTATATTTCTGTCGTCTAAAAAGACTGAAGATAAAGTTGCTTACAGGAAAGCTCAGTCTAAAGTTAGGAGCCTCATAACACGGAAGAAGAATGAAGCTTGGGAAAGCAACTGTTCTAGAATTAACACCTACCTAGGGGGGAGAAAAAGTGCTGAGAGCTGGAAGTTAATTAAAGGTTTACGTAGAGACATGAAGCGCGACATCGTTTCTCCGATATCACTTAAAAAACTGGAGGATCATTTTAAAGATCTTTTGACGGAAAGGCGCCCAGAGTTTCGAGACAACAGCACGGACAACGGAAGAATGAACAACTTGGAGATCCACACTTGTGACATAATTAAAGCGGTTAAAGAGCTAATTAATGACAAAGCACCGGGTCCTGGTGGGATTCCTGTCGAGTTGGTCAAGTACGGGACTGCCAAGCTCTTTGAGTGCCTCAGAAAACTGATGCAACAATGCATCAGGGGTGACGAGGTACCAAGGGAGTGGAAGGAGTCTTGGATCAAGGCCATCTACAAAAAGAAGGGAAGGAAGGACGACTGTAACAACTACCGGGGGCTCTCAGTGACCGGGACAATAAGCAAAGTGTACGGGAAGATACTGAAAGCGAAGATCGAGGACGAATGGCAGGATCACGAAGCAGAGGAGCAGGCTGGTTTTAGAGCTGGCAGGTCTACGATAGATCACCTCTTTGTTATTGTCCAGGTCATTGAGAAGAAAATGGCCGTAGCTCAGGAACTGCATTTAATTTTTGTGGATCTCCAGAAGGCGTATGACAGCGTGCCGTTGGTGAAACTTTGGGAGGCCTTGGAAAAATCGAATTTTAACGGGGGGTTGATTGACGCTGTTAAGCGATTTTATAAAGGGAGTTTTACCAAAGTTAAGTGCCATGGGGGGTTGTCAGCGGGATTTTATGCGACTAAGGGCTTAAAACAGGGATGTTGTTTGTCGCCAACATTATTTAAAATTTATCTCGAGTGCGTGCTAAAAGAATGGCAAAAGAAATGCTCTGGTATGGGTGTCCCCTTGGGTGATCTCGAAACTCTGTTTACTCTGTGCTTTGCTGATGACCAGGTGGTGGATGCTCAAGATCAAGATGACGCGGAATACATGATGCGCAAGCTAGTAGAAGAGTATCGGAAGTGGGGTCTGGAAGTCAGCATATCCAAATCTGAGAAGATAACTTTTGGCGGTGATCAGCAAAGCATTGAGTTGGAGGATGGGCAGCAGATCAAAGGCTGCGAGCACTTTAAGTACTTGGGAGTGCGGTTGACCCAGGATGGAAGGACGGATCAAGCTATCAGGGAAAGGAACACCTTAGCAAGGAAGGCTATAGCGATGTTAAATGGAATCCTCTGGGATCAGCGGATTTCCAAAGATAACAAGAGGAGGATATATACAACGCTGTAGTCAAAAGTATATTAACATACGGATGTGAAGTTTGGCAGCTGAAGAAACGGACACAGGATATGCTAAGAGCAACGGAGATGGATTTCTGGAGAAGGTCAGCAGGAATTTCTAGGAGAGATCGGGTCCGTAATGATAGAGTGCGTCAGATAATGGAAGTCGAAAATGACATCGTGTTCGACGTCATGACCAAACAACTTGTTTGGTATGGTCATGTCAATAGGATGACGGAAGAGAGGCTGCCAAAAAAGATGCTTGATTGGGTTCCTCCTGGGAGGAGACGTAGGGGACGCCCAGTGAGAGGTTGGCGACAGGGGGTGTTAAATGAGATAAGAGATTGTCAACTCCCTGATGACCTGTGGGAAGACCGAGCTTTGTGGCGATTAGGCGTCGCACAGCGCCAAAGAGCGCTATAAAAGCGACTCATATATATATATATATTTGTTGTTCGCTCCAACTTGTCAAAGAATATTTTTCAATCGTCCATATATAATGAGTCACATCAAGGATCATTTGGTAGTGTATGTTGTGTTGCGTATCCGAAAAATGCAGGCGTTTTTAGTGGGGTTGGTATTTCAGGACAACGTGCGGAGGTGATGCATTCGATTATGATCATGGAAACACTTGGATCATAAGAGAAAATTTGTCAAACAGATTCACGAGGTTCTCTCAAATACAAGTAATACATACACAGAACAATATACAAGTAATAATAATACAACTAAAACAGCGTAAACGGAGCATTTACGTATTTGACCGTTAATTGGCAAACGGTAAGTGAAACCCATTGAACTCAACCTTCATAGAACAAAAGCTTACCACTAATAGGTTGATACGATTCTAACAAAAGTTATTGTGTCAACGACTGATTCACCAACAGAGATAGTCTGAATGTTACATGGGGGATCAATCGAATTTTTAAGAGAGCACGATTTCAGAAATTCGGTGGTCAGCTAATAGCACTAGATCCAAGATTTCCTCCGTTTTTCCTATGAGCAGCTTACAAACAGTGCTACATGTCATTGGTTTCCTAGAGGCTTTGACGTCATCGCTGCAATCATCCTGGGTTAATTTTGCACCTATGCGTGCCATTCAGGGTGTTCATCCATATACCACGCGGAACCGCGTGACTCACATAAACCGGCACCTCTTCGACGGAGGGATATAGTTCTGCCTAGCAACGGAGGAGGGTGTTTAATATTGGGACGCTATCGTTATCAAACGCGTCCATTATTAAGTTTACGAGATGTTCTTTTCGAAGTTTTACTTTGTGTTCTTCACTCTAAGGTATGTCAATCGCGCCTTCCTCAAAAGCGACGGTATGTCTATTTGATTTAAACTATGCATCTGATGAGACTCGCTTACCTCTTGATCAATTTGAGTGACCAAAAGAAACTATACTCATACAGTTCCAAAGAATCTAATCTAAGTTCAAGTAATTCATTAGACATTTTGGCCGGCTCCTCCCCCCCCCTCCCCCCACCTTTTCTTGCAAGGTACTCATAAGGCAACCTCTGACCCCCTCCTCCGCTCTCCTCGTGAAATTTTAAACAAGCCAATGGTGGGTGCAGGAATTGCTAAAACGCAGATACCTAATCATGATTACCCTAATTGAACTTGAAGAAAGTTTGACATTGATTTCAAAATTATCGTACAGTTATTAAGGTTCACATTTTATTAGTACCTAGTATTATGAGTAATTTAAAGTATAAATTGATAGCATTCAAGTATATTTTAGTCATGAATACCTCATTTTAATAATCCAATAACATAAAGTAAAAAACATGAACATATCTACTAAAAGTTGATTAGTGTTTTGCCGTTGTTTTCTCTGTCAAAATCGTCGACATAGATATTTTCCTCCGAGATCCTTTCTCCAATTAACACGAAAACATGATTATGTGAAAAGAATAGGTATACTTAATTAAAAATGAATTTCCAAGTGTACGTCTCTTACTCGCAAAAATATCATATTCTTTCAAACTGCCTTATTGTTAGTTCGCGTAATATCCATCGTGGATTTTGGTAGTGTAGGATGTGTTGCGTGTTCCAATAATGCAGGCGCTTTTCATGGGACTCATATTCCAGGACATCGTGGAGACGTGATGCATTTTATTATGAGCAGGACACACTTTACTCTCCCCCCTCCAAAAAATTTATCCAAAAATTAAGTTTACGGAAAATAATAATAGTAAAAAAATTGATGTGATTAACATTACACTGAAAAAAAAAGTAGCTTGGATCAAGCATGATAATTCTTGAATTTATTGCCGCCAAGAATTTTCTTTATCTTGCTTTAAGCTGACTTTTTCTTGATTCAAGAAAAATAATGCTTGGGTTAAGCAAAAAAGTAGCTTATATTAACCAGCAAAATTCTTGATTTAAGAAGAAATACTTCTTGGCGGCAAATTTAAGATTCTTTTTTTTTCCAGTGTATTGGGGATGACTTGAGTGGTAAACTGGGGGAATCTTTTTTACTCGGTTTCCTAGTGCTCGAGCTGATACGGATAATCCTGAGTGATAATTATCATTTCGGGTTTCCTCTCATCTTCAGGTAAGTAAATAACACTTGTCAGCTCAATTTCAACTTTAATGAATCTTTTGCCCTTAAAGAGGGAGCAAACCCAAAATGATAATCGTCACTCATGATCGCATTTATCAATTATTAGGAAACTGGGTGAGAGAAAAGTCACCTTCATTAACCATTAAAAATAGGCAATCATTTAAATTAATACGCGTTTTCATTTTCTTCTATTTTCATTTTTTTCCGTCCTAATTATTTAGCGTTTTACTATGAAATGGTGATCCTTAAAAATTTTGCAGGAATTTCCGGCCGAGACAAATGAAATATGTCCCGAGTTGGTGGCTGGAGATCACAGTGTCCTATTCCAGTGCGGGAACTTCAGTTGAAAACCTATCAGGACCATTACATCTTCTTGCTCAGACAAAATGGACCGGCCGCATTCACGATACAGCAAGGCAGGCAAAAACCATTTGAGGTACTAACATTCTCGTTTGATTTATTATTGTATCGTCCAATCACACATATTTATTCATTTTTCCCTTATCCAGGGACTTATTTATGCCCCGGCCTATGCATGAACACAGTGGCTGAGCTTTAAAGGAAACGCACGGGAATATCTCATCACTCCACTTCTCTTGAGGATGCGAGAGCATAGAGAAAAAAAAGGTGTTTGCATTTCGGGCATCTTGGAATTTTTTGATGATTTGATGACGTAGGTCGGTACAGCGACGTTTAGCGTGAAGGGGACGTCGCTGTACCGACCTACGTCATCAAATCATCAAAAAATTCCAAGATGCCCGAAATGCAAACACCTCCTTTTTTTTCTCTATTATGCGAGAGGGCCCAAGAATTGACCCAGATGAATGAATGGATCAGAGGGATATTACCTACAAACCCCTAATAATTTTTCACTTGATTTGTCCTGTAATATAATCTCTATAGCCACTCCATCCCATAGTTAATTTTCCTCTCTTCATTTTCGTACTTTTATTGATTTTAATGTGTCGCGTAAAAATGATGGTCTCTTTCTCATTAGTTGACTTTGGAAATTTTCCAATATGTTTAACGTTTTCTGCGTAAAATTTTGTCGAGAAGAGGGTTCAAGGGTTCCCAATTGTTTTTTGACCGTATAAACCGCCTCCTCCCCATAAACATTTTTGGCTACGCCACGGTACATATCTTTGATTCTTTTATTGTTATTCGTAAGATCATAATTATTCGTGCGACACATGAAATAGGTTTTCGGAGGAGAAATATGTAAGAAAGTAACGAACAATGAAATCCACTTAATCCATTGCTTTCCGCTGCTGGTCACGTCCTATCAAAGACCTGCTCACACTCGTTATTCTGCGTCGTAAGGAAAATCGACCGAGAAAACTTATCGAGAAAAATGCACTTATTGATTGCGAAATTACAAAACCACGTATCTCGATTACGGTGCTTATGACCAATCTCTTTTTTGATTCGCTGTTAGATTCTTCATGCTAGAGTCCACACCAAATAAGTTCGCGCACTTTTAGACTGCAACAGAAGATCCACCATCATGATCTCGCATTTACTTTCAATACTAAAATGATGTCAGACAATCCTCTTTCGCAATTTGGGCGGCGTAGACTCATTTGGCGTGGACTCTACGAGGAACTATCAATGAACAAGTGTGAGAAAGTATATTTGGATAAAAAGGTAATTTGCGGCAAGCTGAAGGTAAGGATGCAGTGCTCCCAGTCCATGTTCTTCAAAAGTTCCGGGAGTCGGAAATTTTCTGTTCCAATTTCTCTCACTCTATGACCGTCAAAAGTTCCGAGATTCTTTTTAGATTTTTTCAAAAAGTTCCGAGAAAGTTCTGGAAAATTCAAAAGATCCGGAACATTTCAGGGATTTAAAAAGTTCCGGGGGAAATTCAGGAAAACCTCAAAAGTTCCGAAATTCGGTTCTAGTTCCGGGAGATGGGAGCACTGCAAGAAGGCAACATCTTCTACCATGTTCGTCGAGAACAGCGTGTCCGAGAAAGATTTTCGTTGAACATATGCGGTTTTTGTCTAGTAGGGCGTTTCTCTAATGCTCTTGTTTTGATGTAGGTGAGGCTGGGAAACCCGCACAGCTGCACCTGCAAAGAGCATACAAAAATGCAAGAGCTCTGCATGCACATTTGCTGGGTCCTCCTGCGGAAGCTCCGACTTAAACCGGAAGATTCCCTCTCTTATCAGGTTTGTGAGCATCCCCTCCCCTCTTCCTCATTATCCTCGCTCTCTTTCGACGACGCTTCGTAGTTTTGCTTTTCCCTGGTCATTTTTCCAGCTACCGCCATATCTTTTGCTCTGGCCACCTCTTTCACCCTCGGTTTTGGTTATGTGATAGTAGGCGACTTTGCGATCAAATATGATCTGCATTTCTGATCGGTGAATGGTTAGTGATGCCACTTTCCGACGAATATTTCAACTAATCAGACTCCTGAATAGATGGTCATCGATATTCAGAGAAAAATGGAAAAACGAAGTCTTCGCGATTCGGTTCATGCCACCGAACTATCTCTACAGTTCTTGGTGTGGTCAAGAATTGATGGCGGCGTTCATTGCCATACCGGTTGCACTAGTGCATCGAGGTAATTTAATATTTGTACTTCCAACGTTTTAGATGAGATCACCAAAAAAGTCGAATTATAATGAAAAATAAATGAGCATCATATTCGATTGCAAATATTCGCCAAGATCGATGCACTGATTGGATCCTTATCCCACATTCCAGCTGATGAAGGGTTTACTTCAGTCCCCCAGAGAGCTAGTTCATATGTCTTTTTTGTTGTCTATGTAGCACTATAGAAACTGCCGGTTTAAGATGAAAAGCAACATGATTGGTTCCCTAAAAAAGTACCATGCCCATTTTCAAAAAAATTGAGGGAAGGTCACGTCACGGGTTCCCCAAAACCAATAGGTTCCCATGATTCTAATTGCGTATAAAAATGCTTCCAACATTTGATGCACTGCAAAAAAAATCGTTCAAAATTCATTTAGGCATAAACAGTTTCCTCCTCGTCCCCCCTTCACACTCAATTTTCTACTTATAGGATAGTTGCTGCTACCCGTTTTGGGTGGGACTCTTCCGTTGGGAGGGGATAAAAGGAGAGAAACTGGAGTCAGGAGTGGGCATGCATGCAAAAAATTGCCGCTAATGAACATTTTATCCGTCGTTTACGGCCTTTGGATCATTTTGGTCGCTGAATATCAATTGAAAGCATTTTCGAGCAAAATGAGAATCGTAGGAATCTAGTAGTTTTGGGGGACCTGCAACCCCCGCCACTCCCGCAATTTTTTTTTTACTGCGAAAATTTTAATTTTTTGCGGAATCAATTATCTTATTAGTTATCTTGAGCACACAGTTGTCCTTAAATGGGGTTTAAAATGACTCAGATTACTTTTCAAAAAATTCGCTAAATTCACATGTTAGAAATTCGAAAATTGCATAACTTGCTTAACGAAATGTTTGAACGCTTACGAATTTACGATTAAATATCTAAGTGTAACCGTTCATAAGTTAATAGGGAGGTTCCGGACTTTTGAATCGCGGCCTGAATAATAATAACGCCGGTCTTTATTGCTGTTTGGTTCATTAATTGCTGATTTTTTGCTTTGTTATTTCCAGTTGGGAATGACTTCAGGCGAGCTGAATCATTTTCTAAGCGGCAAAACTCAACTTTACGCGACACCAGCTTCAACGCACAAACAAGATCCTTTGAAATTGAAAAGTCAAGAATACGAACTTTCAACGGTGCCAAAGCGTTTAATCACAGCTGATGACGTTTGTCCGATATGCTTGGAAACATTTTCAGTTCGCAACTCACCTGGTAAGACCTGAACGCCCCGAAATTTGCTGTGGGAAAATAAGAAGGAATAAATAATCGTTTTCAATTTGATAGACGCAAGTGGGATCTTTTGAGTCTGAAAACTCAGTACAAATGAAACTTCTTCAATTAAAATGTCTAAAGAGCTCCGGCCAGTCGTAGTTTTTTAATAGCAAATCATAAGTAGACGGAACTAAACCACGAGCAGTGAATCACCTCAAAACGCCTTCAAAATAAGAGGATACAAACCTTTATCCTCGTGATCGGGAGTGCAGTGCATGACCATGCAAAGAGGCACTCTTCAAAGAAAATTAAGATTTTTCTTGCAGTACATAGTCTGAGATTATTACACGTTAAAAAAATTAATGTTGGAATTAATTTTCATCTCCTATCACAGTCTCCTCCCATTTTCTGATAAGTCTTTTGCATTTTGAATTGTAAAACGACACACGTTTAACGCCTTGTGTTAAGTTAATTAGTAAAGAAGACCATAGCAATACGGACTTGCTTCCAATAAATTTTAATATGTATTTCTTTTTGCTTTGTATTCCTCTTAGTTGTCCACTGTAAACATGGATGTGGCAATGGTGTTCATGTGAGGTGTATGGCTGTGGTGGTGAAGCACCAACTCGATGCCGTCGAATTGGAGGAGAATACAAAACTCGAGGACCATATTCTCACATGTCCCATGTGCAGGTGAGATAAGTGTTAAACCGTTAGTTGAATGTCAAAAATATGTATTTCCGTTTTCCGGGCTGAAAATCGAAGCGAAACCCCCCTCAGATTTCAATGTCGATTAGAAACACAGTTTTGTGACGTCTATAGAGCAGGATGAAGTAACTTTGATCTACCTATTTGCCTCAAATTTTCAATTTTGCACTACCGTAGAACTATCAAAAAAGTATGAAGAAAAGATGATTTCACAAGTAAAAATACCGCTAAACCACCTGAATTTTTTTTTTTTTTTTTTTTTAATGCGGAATTTTGGCTCCAAAATTACGCAATAAATCACCACGCAATCTACTCACGTGGTACTCTCAGAATATTAAATACGAGGGGCGTTCAATAAGTAAGTATCCCCCCTCTCTAAAATCCATAAGAATGGACCAATTTTAAAAAACTTGGGCTCAAAATCTTCCTTAGGATATTTTGAGTTCAACAAAACAAACCGCAACAAAATCGGACCATGTCCGGCCGAACGCGAGCCGTTTGAACGCGCCGAGGTGCTCGACGCTCCCGCCGAATCTGCGAGGATTTGAAGTCCGCTATAGGAGAAGAGCTTCTCTGCCAAAGCCTCAGTCGTTCATCACTGACGAAAAATCAAAGAAATTTTTGTAGAATAAGGGGCTTACCTCACTTCTCCACATAACCAGCTCGATCCAAGCAAGTCTGATACTGAGACTAAGACTAAGAGAACAGCTATTGGATGCCTCGTGCGTGGAAGTCTTTCAGCTGACCGCGGATGAAAGAGTGGACGGCTTGTTTGACCTCTTCCACTGATTCAAAATTAACTCCTCCGAGTTCAGATTTCACGAACGGGAATAAATGGTGGTCTGGTTTGCCATTTATTATCGTATCTGAAATCTGAACTCGGAGGAGTTAATTTTGAATCAGTGGAAGAGGTCAAACAAGCCGTCCACTCTTTCATCCGCGGTCAGCTGAAAGACTTCCACGCACGAGGCATCCAAAAGCTGTTCTCTTAGTCTTAGTCTCAGTATCAGACTTGCTTGGATCGAGCTGGTTATGTGGAGAAGTGAGGTAAGCCCCTTATTCTACAAAAATTTCTTTGATTTTTCGTCAGTGATGAACGACTGAGGCTTTGGCAGAGAAGCTCTTCTCCTATAGCGGACTTCAAATCCTCGCAGATTCGGCGGGAGCGTCGAGCACCTCGGCGCGTTCAAACGGCTCGCGTTCGGCCGGACATGGTCCGATTTTGTTGCGGTTTGTTTTGTTGAACTCAAAATATCCTAAGGAAGATTTTGAGCCCAAGTTTTTTAAAATTGGTCCATTCTTATGGATTTTAGAGAGGGGGGATACTTACTTATTGAACGCCCCTCGTAAAACAACACGAGGTTTAGTGACCCATTTTCAAAATAGCGTCTTCTTCCTCTTTTCCTCCTTCATTTTTTCTTGCCATAGTTGCCAGATAGTGCGGAAAAATTATCATTTCCCCTCAACCCCAAAATTGTGAAATTAAGCACATATAAAATGTCCACATGTAATTGCACAATCTGGCAACTCTGTTTCTTACGCTCATTTGGATGAATTGAAATGTTTCAGGGGTCACTTCGGTCGCAACGGAGAGTTTCAGAGGGAGGCGAAAAGACTGAAACTATTCCGCGTTAGGCAACGACGAAATTTTGCTGAGTCGCCAATCGGGGAGCATCCTGAGCTCGTGTGTTGCGCATGCGCCGCCTCCCCGATCATTGGCAGAGTTTACCGCTGCAACAGTTGCCCTCAGGTACTTCAAACTTCTGGGTATTATGGGCCCTCTTCCACCCCCCTCCCCCCAATAATAAATAATTCCCAGGAAAAAAGTGAAACTTTCAGCTGTAGAAACTGTTGGAGCTTTGCTGTTCAAATTTTACAACTTCGTAGACATAGGTACTCGAGACGTATTGAAGAGCTGTGTCAATTATACTGGCGTGCTAAGGAAGAACGCTGTATGAACCTTCAGACGTTGCCATATTTCCTTTATTAACCAACGATTTTATTGGGAAAATTCTGAATATTTTTCTTCCGTTTTTTCAGACATTTTGTTCCCAATTTAATCTACAATATCGGAAACTTTTAAGGCAAACTTTCTTCAAAAATACATGTTTTATTCGGGGAAAGGCAGCTCTCGAGTGTTCATACGGCGTTCTTTCTTAGCGCAGCAGTATAGGGTTCCTCTCGGTTATAGTGTCTCAGAATCTCCGCCAATGTTTCATAAATTATAATTAAAGCAAAATGTTTGTAATGCGCTGCGAAGCTTTTGCTGGATATTTTCATGCTTTGACAATACCGGGACGAAAATTATCAGAAAATTTACTCACTGGTTTTTCCTCAAATATATAACTCTGCAGTGGAAATACTGGAACACTGCAACAGAGAAGTGCGCTTAACGCCTTGATTTCAATTATATCAATAGCTAAAGTCAAAAAAGGCTTCAATCCGATCCCAAGGTTACAAATCTCTGCTCAGATTTTATTTGTCCGAAGAAAACCAACCTATAGGTTCAATTTCTTTAAAAAGTTACTGTGAATTTCCTTCACTATTTCAAATATATTCTTTAAAAAACTTTATCGGGTGTTTTTAAGGTTGTTCAGTTTGGGGGAAAAATACAATCGAAGATTTTGAAACAGATATTCGCATTTTTTATCAGCATTTTATCAATCATCGTTATTTTTGTCCTTAGATGATCCTGTGTTCCGGCTGTATCCGGAACGATCAATACACAGAGCTACATATCACGCATGGATTCGCCAGCAAAAAAGTAAGTTTAAAGACCCACACGCAGTATATTTACATAAAACTCTGGTAAAATCCAATTGGGGGATGGGGGGGGGCGAAAAAGTTAAAAATCGCACAAAATACTTCTTGCGAACAAAAAATAATCCATAAACTTTATTTCGCCACAAATTCAATTTCAATTCAATACGCCCATATTATCATCTCCTAAGCGTATAAACTCGTCAATCTTGCAAGACACCCGTCACTTAAAGCAATCGGCGCGAAATGAGCCCGGCCGAGGAGAAAGGGTGGGAACGCCTGATGGATCCGATGATCGGATCCGATTGGAAATCCGCAAACCGGCCTTGATTGAATAGGACGAGACGGGGCCGGGGGGCACACACACCCTTTTCCTGCCGGCCAAACCGAAACCACCCTCACAATATTGTCTCCTCTCGAGTCTCGATCTCGACCCGGAGCATCCCCCGCCTCAAGGTCACCACTCTCAAGTTGCGGTTTCTCAGCCGTGCGCCCGAAAACCACGCATTCGCAGATCGTTTCCTGCGGGAGATACGCGGTTTCGTGGCCGGGTGGGTCCCGTTCTGTGCCCCCGGAGCCGCGCAGATGTTCCCGGGCATGGGAAAGCATCCAGCTCCCGTTCCCAATGCTGTCTCTCGCCCCGGGCTCACCTGATCGTCGATCACCTGATTAACTGATTCTGATTTCGATTTCGGTTCCCGGCCCTGAGAACTCTTTCCACGTGATCGGAACGCCGGCCGTGCAAAAATCAAGGGTTGTTTACCCCGTTGTGCGAGTCATCGGATCGTTATTGACGGAGGGGATGATCTATGCGTTGGCTGTTTTGGAAATATAACGCCCGTGAAAGTATGGCATCTTTATCTCACGCAGTCATCTTCTTCGATGGAGTAATTTTCGATTTTCATGAGAATCGAAATCGACTTGACGCGCCGGGATGGACGAATGTGGTTTGGAATTTTTCCCAGGAGGGAAGCAGCCCGCTCCTTAAATAATGAACTACTGAAAGGTGATTCGTAATACAGAACGTATAAAATTTACAGAAAAATATTGTAAAAAAAAACTCGTAAAAAAAAGTTATAAAATAGACCAAAGGAGAAATTAAAGGTAATTGTTTTCCTTCTTCTTCTTACTCTTTTCTTCTTTTTTTCACAAAAAAATACCTAAAAAGAACGAATTACCTCTCTTTACCTTCTTCATCGAAATTTTTTTACGTAGAATTCTTAAACTCTAACTCCAAACTGCAAAAATGGATACCTCATTCGTCCTGTATCAAAATCTCTGCCGACATTATATTTTATCTAAGGAGAACGACCAAAAACTATTGCTCGAGATTTTCACAGACTATTCTTCACACATGGAGAAAAAGCCAGAGAAGTTTTCAATAAACTTTGTCGAGCACATTTCCATTTAAAAAATAAATTATGTCAGGGAGTCTGCAGTGTTACTAATCGAGGTAGGTACGCGTTTTTCTAGTTTCACCGTTGACGTGCATGTGTGTATGATTATTTCTGGTATAGTACTCAAAAAATCGAAAAGACGAGTTCCTGAAGGTGAGCTCTATTCTGCCATGATAGCGAAGAGAGCAGTAAGTGCAAAAATGAAGTTCGGAGAAAACGGGCTCAGAAGCATCTGAGCGGAAAATTTTATTGGAAGAAGCCTCCCTTCTTTGTCAAATTGCCACCAATCATCCAAAAGATTCCTAAAAATCGTTTGGATGATTAAAAATCGACCGATTTTATCGAAATAATATAATGAGGGTATTATTCATTTTCATGTCAGGCTAATGTTAGGCAAGACAGCCGTAAGTGCTATATTCTGAATGCTTTCGTGGTTGCGATTTGGACACACACCAAACACATTTTCAGGCTAGAAATTGGCTGGAGAGGGCGACACAATACTTGAAAGCACTGATTTCATTGGCTCGCTGGAGCAATAATGTGATGTACTGCTGTTTTGTCTGAAACTACATCATATTTTGCACACTTGCGACTTTCTCATATGTGTTGTCTACATACAATTAAGATGAAATTTGCTGTTTCAGGTATTTCCGTAATTTCATCTAAAAGAGATTAGATGAATTTTGAAGGAAACTCAATTCCAAAAAGACACTTACTGCACTCTTCGCTATCATGGCAGAATTGGTGTGTAACACGCGTTTAATCACCAAATATCAATGCCAGCATTCGCCAGCAACGCCTGCATTTTCCGACTTTGGCTTTTCACCGAGCAGGCGTTTGGTTTAAGGCGTTTAAGGTCGGTGAAAGGGGTCAGTCTTGACCATCCCCTCCCTTCTTGCGAGTTGCAGCCTTCCTGCGCATGTTATGACAGGGATAAAGATGACGGGTGAACGCAGAGGATATAGTGTGGGAATTTCTTGGGATCAGCTGCTGCTGGACTTCCTCTCTACTCCACCGATTGAGTAAACACATATGCGGTTCGCAATGCTTTCAGCATCTGCACAAAACTTGCTTCCTCCCGATCTTTGCGTTTGCCCGAGATCCAGATTTTTTTCTCTGCTCCCTCGTTTCAACATCAGCCACTTTTACATCAAGGAGAATGAAATGATTGCTTTAACCAGATACCTAGCTGATTTGGGCGCCGATTTGAAAATGAATGAAACACAATACCTGAAGCTCACTTGCATGGTGAAATTTAAGAAAAGACCTATGTGTAAAGATTGTGTACTGTTTAAGTATATGTTAGATAGAAGTGCATATACGTGCATAAGTGGAAGAATCGCAGAAATATTCCAAAAACCCCTAGTCTTTCTGACGTAGATAGATCCGTTTTGTTGGATACACTTCCCGCTTAACACCAATTTCGCTGAACGAACATACCTGAAAAAATGCCAAAGGAAGAACACTTTATCTGCCCCCGTTTCGGTGTTAAATGCGCAGTTTTCAATTTGCCCTGGTAAAAAGTGGCGATAGGAGCTGCGTTTCAAAATACCATAGGAGTTCTTATAGCCGACTAAAGAAGGCTATTGAAAATCATATAGCTGGCTGTAGAAAGCGGAGCAAATCATATAGCTGGCTGTAGAAAGCGGAGCAAATCATATAGCCGGGCTATACGAAGCTCTAAAAAAGTACACAGTCGAGCTATAGTTCCTATCGCCGGGCTTTATACTTCATCTCCATTGGCTATAAAAGGCTAAAAGAAATTGTGTAGAAATTCGTGTGCTTTGGAAATCATTAAGTTTGATACGGAACTACCTTAATATTTACAAAACACACATTATATTTTCCTTTAAAACATATTTTTTTTCATCAATTAAAATGAGAATAATCCATACAGAGTGTGCAAACATTTCAAAATCATGAGTTGAAAAACGCTGACTCCGCGAGATTAAATATTGGAGCCTAACACAAAGCGGAGCGGCGACGCACTGGCGCCTACAAACCTAACAGGGATACTTCACGCATTGCGCAATGCGTGAAGTATCCCTGTTAGGTTTGTAGGCGCCGATGCGCGTTTCACACTCTCTGCCCGCCCGCCGCGCCGCAGCGTGCCACGGCGTCTGAAGCAACTATTTTACACCAGAGGTATTGCACAGTATCATAAGAAATTGATGGCGCTCCAACATATGAACATAAGAATGACAGGCATCCTTCAAAAGTACGGAGCTTTCCTCGCAAAATAAATCAAGATACTACGGCACAAAAAGAGAGCGGTAGTCCAAAAACTAACTAAGTCCTAGTATCCGTATTTTGTAACGTTTAGCATAAACTTTATCGTCTGGCTGTTGCTTAATTGCCATCGGCTATAAAAGGCTGAAAGAAATTGTATAGCCGGCTACAGAAGCTATTGAAAATCTTACAGCCGACTTTAGATCTATGATATTTTGGAACACAGATTCTACTGCCAATTTTTACCAGGGTGCGAATGGACTTGTGCGTGGAGTTGCCCAAAAACCAGCTTCCAAATGACTAAATTACAACAAACTTCATTTTTAAATCATGGTTAAAGGCTCTCTTGAAAAAAAACTAGGACAGAATATCGATGATGAAACTGCAGAAATGTGTATCGTGTGGTTTGCGGCGTTGAAGACTTCCTGTCATAATTCTTTTCTACATGGAAAACCACTGAACGTCATTTTTTAAACTCTTTATAGAGAATATTCTGCGAAAACTACAAGTCGAGCAGTTGCTTCGGTCTCCCTCAAAAAATAGAACAGTCGTAGAAATTTCGAAACACCGCGACTGAGGTGCGCATTTTTGCAGTTTCACCTTCGATATGCTCTGTTTGCGTATGCAGTTCTATTGAAACATAGTTAGATCCACCATATTTCCGCAGCGGTCCATCAAAGTCGTGTCGCATTTTACCGACTGGTTCCTTTTTTGGTGCATGTAGGTATTTGCGTTAAAGTAAACCTGACTTTTCTCAGTGGAAAAATTCGTAAATGCGCTCACATCCAAAGTTGGTAGAGCCACCCAGAAATGCAGACAATATATCCGAGGAATGTTAGTGCAATTTTCAGAAACGCGTCTCCTTAGGTTCGTTACCCGTCACCGATAATGCCGTAACGCGACGGAGCGGCGGCGAGGAGGGCGCAAGTAACGGAGGCTAAAGGTATCTTCTGTCACCGTGTCAATAATACAATTACCGTTGCTCGTGGGTTTCGCGTGAAATAGGTGGATTCAATTCCGGCCCGTTCAAAAGGCACTTAGAGGGTAATAAAACAAATTGGCTCCATCGAATCATTTCCACGCCCGGGCGGGGCGGGGCGCGGCGAGGGAAAGTGGGAAACCGCCGTGGAAAGGCGCGGTGTTTAAGGGCCGTCATAAAATAAGAGCTCGTGATTTGGGTGCTTCCCTTTTTAGTGTCGATGTATAGATTGCAGGGCAGGAAATAGTGTGGCGGCGCCTTCCGAAGACGGGGGCGGCAATAAAAAGGAAATGTATGTCCTCCTTCTCGCCGGCATTGTGCGCTCCGTGCAGCCCAAATGATGCCCGCCCTGTCGTCACGTGGTGCAAAAAACCCTCATCCACGCTATGGATCCTATTCGATACATCAAACATGTGGGGTTGTATCCATATCCATTGCTTCGACGTG